GTCAATGTAAGATTAAGACTCTAAGACGCAGTAATACATTGCAGTTGCAAGTGAGATATTGCCGAACATCGCTAGAAGTGTGACTGCGAATCTCAGTTCAGCCTAACCCACACTAAGACAAGGTTCAAGTATCGCATGTGCAGAATAAATATATGTGGATGCATCTTCATTGTATGCTACGTTGCAGCACAAATATGCCTAAATTTTTTTGACCAACGCTTTTTATAGTGATGCCATTTTTCATGAACCCAAGGTAATTTGGCCATTTTTATCTATCTATCTATCTATCTATCTATCTATCTATCTATCTATCTATCTATCTATCTATCTATCTATCTATCTATCTATCTATCTATCTATCTATCTATCTATCTATCTATCTATCTATCTATCTATCTATCTGTCTGTCTGTCTGTCTGTCTGTCTGTCTGTCTGTCTGTCTGTCTGTCTGTCTGTCTGTCTGTCTGTCTGTCTGTCTGTCTGTCTGTCTGTCTGTCTGTCTGTGTGCACTATCATAGTCGTTTCATTAGGCTGGTATTTACCTGGAATGAGAAGACATGAGTGAATTACGAACACGATTCAAGGTCATAACATAGATAGATAGATAGATAGATAGATAGATAGATAGATAGATAGATAGATAGATAGATAGATAGATAGATAGATAGATAGATAGACGCTCGAAGTACCCGCAGTACGCAAGGAACTACCAAGCACTGAAAGCACTCAAAGCATTGCTATCTGTAGCCTAGACATTTAGAGCAGGGGATCAGGAAATAGATGTGAGGCTTAGTAGGAGCAATGTCAGAGCGAGGAGAAGAAAAACGAGAAAAGGAGAGAAGGAGTAAAAGAAGAAACTGTCATCACGCACTATACCATTGTCATGCATAGCAAGGTGCACAATAAGAAAACGATGGGGGAGGGGGGGGGGGCGTTGTGAGCGTTATGACTTTGAAAATTACGGCTGACGCCAAAGCATGGAAAAGCCACGCATGGCGTCATGCAAGCCGAATCGTTGCGTTGTAATCGTGTGCAGCAAGGAATGGTAAAGGCAATCAAATGTAAGGTAGAGGAATACGACGCTGAGTAAGATGGAAACGTTGAGAGGAGAAGATGAATCATGGTAAATTCATGTAACGACATTAGACAGGTGAAACCACGCACATCATAGTTATCTATAGGACGGGGAGGGAAGGGAAGTGAGAGTGAGTAGTGATGTGAGAACGAGAAAGGTGGGAAAGAAGGAAAGAGAGGGTCAATTATAGCGTGCTGTATATGGCATTAGCCAGACACGAGCTTGTAAATCATAGTCCCGTATAGCAAAGAGTAGTAAAATAGGTGAGGGTGAGGGGATAAAGAGAAGGCAGGGAGTAAGAGAAGCTTAGCACAGACATATATTCACGTAGTATATTCAATCCGCCACGTCTTCGGCTGGTAAAACAATTTGATATTTAAATTGAGGTAATGACCGTTCCATGGCCGATCCCAGTGATGACTTATTGGCCGATCCCAGTGATCCCAGTGATGGCCGATCCCAGTGATGACGATCCCAGTGATGATCCCAGTGATGACCAAGACTTATTTGATGTAAGGCAGGTAAATATGATGCTAGGCAGGCAGCGGCATGTATAGCATGGCCGTGACTACTAAGAGACGGTAAAGGGAATGAACGAATGGATGTTCTTAATTTCAGACATATATAAACTTTGCACAAACTGTTTGGTCTCATAGCCATGAGCTAGTGCGGGTACCATTAGAAGTATATATACGAGTAACAATAACTCTACGAGTTTTGCTGAAAGTAAGCCGAAGTAGGAATTCAAATTTAGTATCATCATGCAAGAAGTAATCTTTATCGTCTAACAACCACTGCTTGGATTTCTATAAACAAATAAAGAAAAGTTCCTAACTTTTCCCCATTCAAGTTTCATTCAAGTTCCGCATTGAATGAAAATATAGGGGATGGGAACACTATAAATAATTTTCACCCCTTCCCCCCCCCCATACGAAGGGAAATCCTGGACACACTTATGATCGTGGCTTACTAGAACTTGTGGGACACAGAACGACCACTTTACTCCCAATGCTACCATCGGGTTCGTCATAGAATACACCTCTTCATATCTATGTTACACTAATATCAAAATATTGTGCACACTAAAAGAGATACTGGAAAACGGCAAACACCCTGCCTCGAACAGCTAAAAGTTATTGCAGCCTAATACCACGTCAGTGCCAACTCTACGGCAGCCAAAGAAGTCACAACATTCAATAACTCTCGTAGTCAAACAATCAAAAAACATCAGCATAACGTTCCTATTGTGGCATAGCAGTTCTAGTTCTGGCTATAATGCAAGCCATCTTACAGTATGAGCCTACCTCTCCATAAATCACAGGCAGAACAGACTCGCGAGCAATTCTACGGCACTTTCTCCTCAGCTAACTCCCTCCAAACGCAGCATATGATCTCACTTATTCGTACACCATCATTCACTGCACTATTACATTCCCCAATTATTTCAATAGCTCCTGCAGGCAATGCAATACATCTGCTGGCCTATAAGCACTATGCTCTGGTGTTGGCCACGTTACGAGGCTTGGAGCAAACCATCAAAGACAAGTTGTTAGCCACTATCAAGAGCCCCATTATTGGGGCTTAACTGTGGGTTGTCCAGAGGGCCCATAATGCAGTGGTCGAGCTTATCGTAACTGTGCCTACATGAAACCGGCCCACTCACGTTGAGTCATGCACCTCAAGGCTAGCAATACTGCTCCACATCTACCCATCCATCCAACGAATCCACGTAAAGTGAGCTCCAGGTCACTCGGCTTCCTTGGTTTAACCTCGAACTCACACTGATAACTCAATACCATGGTACTCGAATCCTTCCCTTGGCTGACCACAGGTTTATCTGTCGGCAGTGGACCACACGGGACATCATCAATAACGAGAGGCCCACCTGTAATATCGCTGAACAGCCAGAAGACATATTCCTAGACAGTCTTATAACTTTTTCAGAAAAGCAACCACGCTCATGAGGCAATCATAAACGCACTGTATCTGGCATACCAATACACTAAAAAATACCGAAATCCTCCTGGCCACTTCATTGCTAAGTGTGAGATTCTATATGAACACTATCCCACCCATAATCCCAGAGCCAATACAAATCAATGCGCTCAGTCGGCTCTAACACATCTACACGGGAGGTCTGTGTTGTGAACTTTCGCAGAACAACGTTCTAGTGGGAGCACTCAGCACCTGCGAGCGCCCCGATCGTAGACAAGAACGAGGAACGATAGCGTACTCGCACCTTGCGCATGGCGACCGCTACCAAGGCGTCATTGCCAGGGCTCAGACCAATGAAAATGCGTTTTCTTGTAACTCGGTCTTTCCTCTGAGTGATATCTGGGTCAACCACTGCTAAGAGCAACGCAACATGCGCTTAGTATCTTTAAGGTGGTGAATGAAATCTTATCCTAAAGTTCTGATAGACTAGGGTATTGCAAAAAAAGGGGGGGGGGAGAGAATTTATTTTCTTTTTCTTGTCGGTCCGTCTACTTTCTCGTTCTCGGGTGCAAGAGGCGTGCTTTACGGGGTGACAACAAGTGCAAGCCGGCACGAGGTATAGAGGATGGTGACACAGCGACTCCCTGCGCTTCGGATTCACTATCTTTCGACAACGTCTAATGTTTTGGTGGCGCCGATGATGATGACACCGATCAATGCATGAAGAGGCGCATAAGATGTGTTCTTAAAACGATCAATGTTTTTTGCGCGGCACAAGCGTACAATCTAAGGATTTCCATTGTTTAAAAAAAGGGTGTTTTAGACTCCTCCAATACAAAGCACTCGAAAATATTTTAAAAGAATATATTCACAAGAAATGAGGTGAACAAAGTGAGCAGCTGCGTAGGTTCATTGTTGCGTCGAGATCGCGTAGATGGCCCATCGCTGACTCGCAGAAGGAATTGGGGTGTAGTTGTATCAGGTGCAGGCATGCACCAAAAACCTACATTACACTTGCAATTGAGAAGATGATGCGCATGGTGGTAGGCTACGCTATTGTGTTTGAGAATTGAAAGAAAAGGTGAAGAATGGCAGTTGGTAGGCCAGGCCAGTTGGTATATGCTGAGCAGGAAACAGCGTGCCAAAACGGCACAAAAATATGGAAGGAAGTACTTATACACGGCGCTAACTATGAAGGAAGTTTATTATCGCTAGGCAGTCAATTTATAAGAAAAACTTGAATGACGTCTTATAGGGCCAGCAAGGCGAAACACCCCTATATCATGTTTTTCAGAGGTAGACCTGCACTCGGCCTCCATTATGATCGATGTCTTGCCTTATACATTATGTGATCATCCAATGGTTTTGAATAAGCATGTGCTCAACACCAGCTCTACGAACATAAAACTTAGGCCTTGTTCTTACATATTCATTCTAAGCCTCTGTTGGTAAGCTAATCATGAATCACCAATGATCTTCATATGACAGAGTGGAGTCGGAAAAAAAGCATACTGACAGAAGAAAAGTGGCTTGAAAAATAAACGACAACGGATTTTGGCACACTTGAGAAAAGAATGAGTGGATAACAATTAACTTACTTCAGCAAGCTACGACTATTTCTTCAAAAGATTCGTAGACTACCTCTTTTCCTCTGAAGACTGCTGTGATTTAACCTTACCACTAGTAGTGGTGCTAAAAAGTGAATGACACCTACGACACATAGAGGAAAGTCGTGTAAAAAATATCGGTTCATGGGGAATCGTTAGAGATATTCACATGCTTTGCTTTTGAAACAAAGCTACCATTATGACAGCTCGTTTGTGAATTGTTCTAAGCTTATACGAATTCATATCTTCACCTGTAACGATAGCACTCTATAGGCTGAGCAGGTGCACTGTATATTGTCTCACCAGACAATGGAAACGTACTTGGATGAAGCGTGGTTGGATATGAGCAGGAAGTTTACTGAATTGTCCAATCTTCTAATGGCTTAGCGAAGAGGATAGGACAGGACCGATGAGGCCATGCGGCTACTTCTGTATCCAGTCTTAGCCTGTCTCCTAATCTGCATGATAGCCGGCTATGGTGAGACATAGCTGTTGTTTAGCGCTTGACTTCATCCTGCAAGTATCTCTATAATGATTATGAGCTCGAACAATCTTACATCCAATCGGAAAATCGGATGATCGTACATATACTTTTTTTCTACTGCGATGCGATCCTAGAAACTTCGCATAGCGCTGTAATGATACTCGCGAGTGGCAGTAATATTGCCAGAAACTATATATTATGCAACGCAAGTGTTCTGTACAAGAGCGATCACACAGGCTTTCACCTGCTTTCGCCAGATGCCCTTGCGTAGCTCTTTTACACCGGTATACTGCCCTCTACATCGGGATGGCTTCACCCTGTCAGATTGATTGATTTGTGGGGTTTAACGTCCCAAAACCACCATTTGATTATGAGAGACGCCGTAGTGGAGGACTCCGGAAATTTCGACCACCTGGGGTTCTTTAACGTGCGCCCAAATCTGAGCACACGGGCCTACAACATTTCCGCCTCCATCGGAAATGCAGCCGCCGCAGCCGGGAATTGAACCCGCGACCTGCGGGCTTCACCCTGTCAGCTAATTATTAAACGAATTGGCATATTGTATGCACTATTTAAATCATTGTCTTGCGAAGCAGGTGGAGGGATGATGAATCAGGTGTAATTTTTTTGTTGAGCTAAACACTACAAGATGACGCTAAACATATGTGCAGCGGTGTTCACTCTTAGGGTGAACATGGTCCAACCTAAATGTCATTGATCTACGTCTTACGGTCACGTAAGGCACTTCCACATTTGGTGTACATCAAGCTATCAAAACAGCTGTGAGCGTACTATGAGCGTGGTATATGCAAGTCATTATGTTACTCATGACATGGCATGGATCCTATAGTACCACTTGTAATTTATGTTCGTCACGCGAACACGTACCGCCGGAGCAACTTTGGTGCGCATAATGCTAGCAAAACGGCCATCAGCTCACCATCAGCTGAGCATGTTGTACATTACATGCACGTCATGATTTTCATATTTCCATCTGTCATTCACGTTGGTCATGCAGAAATGTCTCATCACACCAATAAGCAAAGGAAACGGCCGTAGAAACATCACGGCCATGACGCTCACACCATACCATTCCTGACAAGTTAGCCTTATATTTATTGATCGGAGAAGTCCCAGATAGACAGACAGACAGATAGATAGATAGATAGATAGATAGATAGATAGATAGATAGATAGATAGACAGATAGATAGATAGATAGATAGATAAGCTTAAGATAACTAAAGTTTTGTAAATGTGTTTCACATTTAAAAGCTCTCTCTTTAAAAGATCAATAGCGAAATCTCTCGGATATTAACATTGAATCAGTGAGTATATGCACAGAAATCGTTTCACGTAGAACAGCTTTATAGCAGACACAATGTATAGAGCACCTCATGAGGTGGTATTCCTTTCTGCGTATTAAGGCTCAATGAACAAAATTCAATTCTTTTTTTTAATGCAGAAGTCGAGAAAAATCAAGAGAAACCGATTTGGTACCCAAGACATCAATCACAACGAATTCGAAAAGGGGCACCTGTAGGAAGCAGGTCATCTCTGAAAAAGAATCGAGGAGGCCATGGGGGTGAGTGCTGGTGGAATCCCCAGTGAAAGTCAAAGTGGAAACCACAGTGGACCTTGAATTCAAACTGCGCTAGTCTTGGCGACGTCATGACTTCAGGTGCCCATGAAGCAACTGTTGGACTAGCAATTCTTGTGTTCGAAAAGGAGTAACCACTTCTCTTGCCACGAAAAGCGGTTGCGTATGCTAGTACCATGCAGCCACCCGCTGCGGTGGTATCGAGCCGTGTAAATTTTTTTTCTGTGCATGCCGTAAGGCGCCAACACTGCATGCACCACCAAGACAGAAACAAATACAACTATGCTCATTGCCTGGGAAACGAATTCTGATGATCAGTCATTGAGTAACATTGAACAGAAGCTATGTACGTTTCCTGCCGAATATAAAAGAAGGAGGAGAATGCAGCCATTTCAACTTCGTAGTAGCCTTCTCAACAGCGACACCTACGTCCCCTTTCGACAGCCTATTGTTTTTCAACGTTTTCTTGAAATTCCGGTCAGTATTTATATGTTTACAATTAAACCAGTACATATCTTGGGGTTCGATTTGTTTGAAAAAGAAATAATCATGAAAAGTAACCTAAAATGATTCGAAGTACAGGGGACGTTAGTAGAAGGGAAGGAAAGGAAGGCCAGGGAGGTTAGCCAGGTATCAGACCCGCTGGATACCCAGAGGGTGTTGTTTAAAGGAATGGTAATGAGAATTTCAAGAATTAAAAGTGGACTAAATGATAACTTGCCATCAACACGGCTCCACCTGTGATACTCGAATAACGCCTCCAATACTTTACTACTGATCCTCATCCCCCTGCACACTTTACGAGGTATACGTGTGCATTTATAAGTTGGAGTGTCAATAAGCGCTGCCAGTAGCGATAAAAGTGAGTGTCTAACACGTGATCCTATTACGAACCGGCAGCTGACCAATATTATTCTGTCGCATACAACCTGAAGACATAAGTTTATTTAAACTAATGCTCGCTAATATTGAACGAAATCAGTGTAAGTTTTAGGAATCTGATGCTTTATTACACATAATGTCAATAAGAATTAACAGACAATGATGTCTACGAAAGTATACAAGTAGTGTTACTTAAAGTAATTGTAATGTAAATGTGAAGAAAAAAAAGTGGACAAAAAGGTAGTTTGTAACGCGCAGCGATCGAACCGGGGAACTTCGAATAACGCGTTCCACGCGGGATTGTCAGCCAGCGCTACTAGCAACCATTGCGACGAGTGTGAATTTGTGGCATGTTTGTAACTCTCTGTATTGGTTTTTGGCGGCGCTGACTGACTCGTCCAAGGTCAAATGCATTACTAATAATGCAGATATACAATGACGACAATTACTCTACATGCATGCTAAATACGTGATGACTAATGATGAATAATGATAATTGTAGAAACAGGTGACATGAAGTTGAAATCTTCGGCCAAACTTGAGTGTTGTATGAATCTGGTGGTTTATGTCTGTCAGATGAAGTTATTGGGGATTACTGCGAAATAAGCATCCGAACGCATTCGTTTGCTTAAGAATAAATACTATTATTATATGTGACTAATTTGCAGAAGTGCAGTGCAACATGAAATATCTTTGTTTGTTCTAACAAGTTGCATTTATTTTACAGTTCACTGTAAAATGAGTCCTCAAATACGAAAGAAGTCAAAAGTCTACAGAAAAGAACTTTTTTTTTTGACAGAAACACACTGTTTCTTAGGTATCATGCTGCAACATGTCCTTCCCCTTTCATGCATTTATAACCCATTTTCAGCCAACGTCTTAAAGTAGTAGTCCTAAACGCCACAGTTCACCAGGAAGCAAGTAATAGATACACACGCCACTCGTTCTTTTTTGCAGGACAGACTACGCATTAGCTAGAAAGGGTCGCTCCCCAGCCAGCTTCAGGAATTATTTCCGGGAGCAACAGAACCTTCTGTGAATAATTGGTATCTGAATGCACGTGGCTCTCAGTCTCGTTGCCTCTAATAACTTAACTACAACAAGCTAGCAGGTTATAACCGAAGCACTAAAAATTTTGGGGCCACAAGCTATTTGTTTTTAGTTTTTTGACGCTGAATGGTTGCAGTCACAAGTCATTATTTCAGTAATGCAAAACAAGCTGAGAACCGTTGCAATCTGATTACAGGGCGGCATGATAGATGCACTTTTCGACTTGAACGAACGAACTGCGTGGGCGCCAGTTTTGTTCATAGGTGGACCTATAATGAAGATTCGAACACTTGCGAAGACATTCATTTCCCTCTCTGTTGGAACAAAAGCAGAATGTTTCTGACGTGCTCAGCCTGCATGAACACATGTATGAAAGGTAAGTAGGCAGTCTCATTGCGGAATTGTAACGTAGATGCTGAGCTTCACTGCTCTAGCAGATACAAGCTCAAAATCAGGCTGAATTTGTGTGCCTCCGCCCTTGTCACTGTTTGATGATAAGGACCCGCATCACGAGGCCGTATTGTGAAAATGACCACGAGCCCTGAAAGTCACCTGCCGTGAGGTATAGCCCAAAGAGTTCAATAACTAACTTAACTGCTTCTCCATGTCTTCGTCTTCATCCTGGACGATGGCAATATCCCACGTCTCAGAAGAAATATAAGTGCACTGCACTAACGCAGATCACTGCTAATGTCGCGGTATCAAGTTTTCCGCGTTCTAAAAGGTGGCTACAGACTCACTTTTAGCTACCTATGCTACAAGAAAGATTAAAGAGCTTTGAAAGTTTATTGTTTATTTTTTTGAAATGTTGTACAATATTTCATAAATGTAACCTACTGTTTAGTGTATTTCGAGTATTTGGCACTTAAGAAACCCGGGTTATTATTAATTCATGGATCTCGCGTGACGTGGTTACGATTACAGGAAAGTGTTCGAAAATAATAAATCACAGGTGAATTGACGCGCAGGATTAAAATGCATATAAGTACACATTAAGAAGACATATTCTCGATGAGTACCTTGAAATTGCTGAGCACGTTTCTTAAACACGGTTCTTCAACGTTCCTTAATGCCATAGCCGTGCAAGAGAAAGCACCACCGCGTAGTAGAGCACACGAGTTCATTGCGATAGCAATTTTATGGACACTCTCGGCTGTTTTTTGCCATCAGCGTCACTGCCAAGTCCCGTATACATAGATATCTGTTCACATAAATAAAAGCTACAAATAAAAGTACAATATCCGTGTGCTCCGCAGCGGGAAATATTTGGTGTTCCTCCACAGCACGCGGCGTAAGACGGCTAGGCAGACAAACCACAGACCCTTCAGCTTACTAACGGCTACCTATTTATACACTCTAACCTAATAATCACTATACTCAAGTGCCATAATAACGGCTACCTATACTTATACACTCTAACCCAATAATCACTACACTCAAGTGCCACTAAACTTTTGTTGTTATAACTGATAATTCCTATAAAGAGGGGCCACAAGTGAGTTATGCATATTTGTTTTATTTAGTAAAAGTGTCAGTGCAGTCTGTCACTTTGTTTAACAAGGTTGAACTTGGGCAGAGGGTGCTGCAACTATGGAAGTTCCGCACCGTGACGGGAAGCGCACAGCTAAAACGAGAAAATCATCCGTCGTTCCACTGCAACTTAGCGGGCCAACTAGGGGTGGAATGGGCTGTATATACGCAAAACTATACCGCTCTATCAACGTAAGCCACCGCCACTTCCACGCCGCAGCGTATTTTGACCTTACTTAGTCGTGATGTTACAGGATTATGTGAGAAAGCATACAGCTATGTTGAAGGGGCCCTAGGGTACATGGGGTTGTCGAGGTTGTATCAGTAGTTGGAATTTCTGTCTTGCTTCTTTCTCTTTCAAAATTTCGACTTCCACTACCTTGTGACATAGGCATCCAATAGCCAGAGTTAATTCTTAAAACGAATAATGCGGCACGCGGGCGTTGCTGTAAGCGGGCTATTTCGCGATAGCGAGTATACGAAAGATTATGCTTCGTGCACTGTTACAGCTGATATATTGCTTAAACTGGGAAAGCAGAAATAGAGAAATCGGCATCAAAAGAGGAAAGAGCAAAGCTAGTCGGTCATGACACTTACTAAGGTCACCATCTCGTGGCGTCGTTGGTCATTAACATAAAAAAATCAAAGTTTTGCTGCAAGGTCTAAGCAATCAGCGTCATAATGATAAATTGTAGTGTCATAGTCTCATAGTAAAGAAAACGTAGACCGCAAGGCATGTACAAGAATATGCAAGCACTCTGTGGACGTTTCTCAAGATAGCACGAGTACGAGTGCTCGCGCTGCGATTAGAGTCTACAAATGCCGTTTGGCCAATGCAGCCGTAGTCGCTCCTTTTGCGCCGCGTTATGAAGCTCCGCTCGACGATAGACGGGCAGATAATTTTGTTGTCCGCCAAAAGATATGCATAATATGCTTCGCCTACGGGGAGATAAAATCCAATGCACCTTTGTTCAATGAAGATGGCCATGTCGTTTCATCTCTGCTTAGCCACTGTCATCCCAGGTGGTCATGCGCTTTCATTTACGCGTAAACATACAATGTGAGGATGTTAAGGATTGGAACTTGACGGCAATGGTGCGAGCCCACTGAGAGTGCCTATATAATTGTTATCACCATAAAAATTACACCACGGCCAGGATAGAGGGGAGTCGCAAATTCTTTCTGAGCTAAAGTGACCCCATTCCGCAAGCTCTGAAGCGGGGTGTAGAAGGGTGGGGGGCAGGAGCGGGGGAGATGTTAATCCGGAATGACGGCTGACAAAAAAAGTGCTAAGTGGAGACAGAAAATTTCACTTCTAACAGCTGAGTTGTTTTTGGCATGAAGTAAGTCCGCGTATTATATGCGATAAATCGGCCCTGTGTGCGGCAAAAAAAAAGCAAGCCCTACTACCAGACGAACAAGTAAAGAGGAACACCAGTCCAGCATAATGGGTTTCTACCATACACGTGGGAAAGAAATGGGGGAAACAGAAAGAGAGAGAGAAAAAAGAGAAAATCGCCACTATATTCAGAAAGTGAACGACACTAGAGGGGCTTGCTTGGAGGTGAACCAGGCACTTCTTGGCGAGACCATTTCCGTAAGAAGGCTTCTTAACGAGCCGGCGCGTGATGTGTAGGTACACTTCGAGAGGGCACTCCTCATGACTACGCCCACTTCGAGGACCAAGTGGACGTAGCCGTGAGAGGCGTGTGCGTGAGCTATCGAAAACCAAAATTTTGGATGGTGGCGTACCATCTAGTGAGCATTGTTAGACTAATCGAAGAGGCGACCACAGCTAAGTGATTCTAAGAGAGGGAAAGGAAGAGAATAATGAGCCCAATAACTGTCTGCATCACGGCGCGACACCTCAACAGTAGCTCACAGGGGATGGGGGTGAGGAGGGATAAAAAGGATAGAAGGAAAGGTATAGAGAAAAAGAGATGCGCCAGGCCAGAGAGCGACGACATATCGAGGAGGTAGGAGAGATAGCAAAGATAGAAACAAGGTCACAAGAGTCCGAGGACGGGGCACCACTTGCGAGAGCTTTTGTCGACGTCAGGAGGTGGCGTAGGGCAAGTCCACTAGGTCAGAGCTACGCTGTCGTCGGAAATCGGCGTCAGGAGATGACGTAGGGCCAGCCCAGTTAGCCAGAGATGCGCTGACATCGAAGATCGCGAGGGCACAATCGGTAAGCCCGGACTCCAGCGAGCGAGCGAGCGGCGACCTTGAGTGGCGGCCTCAGAAGTGTAGACTGGCAAAACTGGTGTACACGCCAGCGCCACCTGACAGGACGCGATCATAAGCAACCTCATGAGCAAGTTCCTCTAAAGAAAAAGAAAAATAGCAAACGACACAGTATGCCCACAAGCACGCACCACAACAGTTCATCGGTCTATAAGAGCGGCGATCGTAAGCGGTAGGGTTTATGTGAGAAAAAGTGAAGCCCAGTAAAACGGGGACTGCTAAGACAAAGATCAAGCAGGGAGGCGAGTCTTAAGCGAGAACTCTGCTCTATCAGGTGGAGAAAATAAAGAGATTCAGAAAGAGGAGAAAGAAGAAGCTGGAATTTAACACAAAGAGATCAGGAGAATAAATAAAACGCTTTATAAAACTTAGATATGAAATTCGAACCCGGGAAACTACGCCTACGAGACGGCGGTTGCATCCACTCGGCCATTCAGGTATAGCTAGGCGAGTATTTAAGAGAAACAAACTGTGCTACTATATAAGAAAATCGAGAGGCAAAAAGACAAACAGAGAAAAAAATAAAGAAAGAAGAAGGTAGACAGGAACAGGGCGATACCAGATAATAGCCATTAAAAAAGAATGTGGTGGCCAGGCTACATCTGAGGGTGACTGTTAGTCATCTTTTGGTCGATATAGTGACACAAACACGTTGGCGGGACAGTGATGTGCCAACTGCAAAACGGGGGCATGTTCCTCCTGAATTGGGATGTCCGGTAACTTCACTCTAACGCGGCCGTCGTTTCATTTGGTGCATTATACTCCAGTATAAAGTGGTTCTTATTTTAATCAGTGTGGACATTTTAAAGTTTTTTTTCGCCAAATATTTGGATTTTAACGAAAGCATTGATTGTAAGTTGCGCGTGACACGCAAACGTATCTCGCATTACATGAAACGGCTTCAGCAATTTAGATTATTTCATGCAGTGCTCCCAAAAAACTACTATGTTAATGGGTAAAGGACACGACCTCCTGTTTCCCGTAGCGTCTTCTCGTAAGCGCGGCATATAATGTACAATGAAGAAGCACCACCTTGAAATGCTTTCGATTTTATTTCAATAACTTTCTTGAGAACAGCAGCTACAATCCGCAATAATACGCAATTAAGGTAAAAGTCACCATGCGATGACTGAATTATACAACTAAATAGGTGACCTAGCCATTCATTAACCTTATTGTGACGCACTCATCAAACTGTATAACCTATATGACCTTTGAATGTTATTTGCACTAGTATTAAAGTACGTGAGCTTATCAGCTAAATATTTCACGTTGCCGTTTTATGTTCCTACAGCAGTTTTTTGAACATTGATTACTACAATTTTTAAGTGAGGCTTATATCTTGGAATCAGCTGAATTTCAGCCACACTCATGGAAAAGTATCGTTCTGCTATAGGCTTCACGTGTCTGCAAAGACAATGATGTGACTATTTAATTATATACTATTTTTGCGTAGTTTCTGAGATTGCCCTTTCTTGTTATGTAAAACGTGTTTCTTTCTGTTTGAAACAGTATTCTTTATTCCTTAGGAAACAAAAAAGACCATGAGTGGAGTAGAAGAGTACAAAGGTTCTGTGAAAAAAGCATGAATAAACATCTCAGAAAACATAACTTAAACTAACATCGTGTGCCCCATCGAGCATTCTGTATTGAAGTATTCTAAATAAAGAACTGCTCAAATTGGATCTCGTGCGTTGTCCCTAAGCCACGTATTTTTATGTTTGCCTGCGACGGAGTGAAATGATAAGAAAGCGCACAGGCTGAGAGATGGTGATTGCTTCCGTTAAACTGAAACATAGGAGCACGCGATCGTGCTTCATTGCCAGTATTGCTGACACACGCACTAAAGTTTGTGTTCTTAGATGTTTCTGACAAAGTTGAATGACGGCTTTTAAAATTATACCTTAAGATGCCGTGTTTTGTGAGTGAATTCTATCCAAGATGGGCGAGCACCCACATTAGCTTTCCGAAAGTGTCTCAGCTGCACGATATGACGACGTAACAAGACCGCGTGGGCCAAGGTGAAACGTTTCTCTGTTGGCCCTTGCCGCAGCAGAGCGAAAGGGGTAAAGCGTCCACGCAGCACTCTAAAGCAAAATTACCCGAAAAAGGAGTAACGGAGCCCAATGGGCGCGCGCGATGAACGGATAGACCGTTGAGGAGCAACCACAGAGGGAAGCGTGTGGCGCGAAACCACTTACTCTCCTCTAGAGATGAACCGCCCGGGCATTGCAGGCAGCGCGAAAAGCGTTGCCAAGGTGACACCCTCCTTCTCCACAGAACACATGTGCTTCTCCTCCTCTGCTGGCTGTCTTTTCCCGTATTTTGCCGGTGGTGGTTGCGTAACGTCGCGCTCGGGGTGCTCGACCACGGCCGCCTGGATTCGACGATCTAAGAATTACGACGTGGTGCTTGTGTGTACGCCTTGATGAGCGTGGGCTGCTGCTTTAGCGTTTCGCTGCACCAAAGAAGTCTGGAGCAAGCCTCGACAGGTCACCACGCCGCGCTGTATATCTCTGGCTTCAAGAGATTCACGACCAACACACGACAGCTACAGTTGGGAAAGCCAATATGGCGGCCGAGAAGAACAGGCCTATCGGATATACACTTCAGTCCGACTCAGGGCAGAAAACAGTGCTGGATTCTAAGGCAAGTAGGTAATCATTATTTTTTTCTACTCTACTTGTTGCGTGTGCGATACGGATCGCGCTTGCAGGCAACGGGCTCAGCCGTGTTGTATATCGCACGCACGAAATGCATCGTGAATGTCAGCTTCGGTGTCTGCAGTTTGCCTGTGCTTTGCGACTGCCCGGAAATCGGCCGCCATCGCCGTCGGCCTCCCGTACGCTCGCTCATCGAGTGCTCGCCTGTCTTCGGCGCTGCGATGAGCTCCGTGCTGACGATATTCGGCTGAGACCTCGTCGCTGTATTGAGTGTCGTCGAAAACACGTTGTGGGTTCTCGTAAAGAGCTTGGTTGTAGTATGCCACGCTGTAAGTGCACCAGCACGGGCTGGCGGGGCTTTCGCTAGAGTCGGAACTCACTGAAAATTGGTCGTCATTACAATTGGTTCTCCCGCCAGTCGGTCGCAAGCAGCTCGGCGCAGTCCGATGGCCGTGGGAACGTGCAGCCGTGGGAACACAATAGGCAGAAGGTTGCGTGCGCTGGCGTCTGCAATGCAGGTCATCTATCGCTTCCGTCGGACGAGCCACCCAAGGTGTGAACAAGATTTGGCAACGAGACTGGGCTTGTACACTTCACCATGAATTCACTTAACAGAATGGGGAAACTTCATGTGTATGTAGAAAAATAAACGATTTCCATGTCTCACTTTTGTCTTTCGTTGTTGCCATGACTGTGAAAGCAGTTACACATAGGTGGCTAACTACTTTTTCGCGTGTTCTTTTCTCTAGAATTTGTTGCTCACTGCGTAGAAAAACAGGCGAAAAAAGTATTAGGCCTGGCGGAAAATAAACAAAAAGCAATGCTTGAACTGGGGACAAAAAGTTCATCCGATTGGAGTATTTGAGTCGATCAACCGTTCATCCGGCAAGGTGGAACTGTGAGGACTAATGGTTGCCCGGTAAGGTGTAAATGTAGAGATTAACAGTTGCTCTATAAGGTGCAAATGTGAGGACCTAATGTTAGTCTTTGAGGTGAACTCTAAGACTGACGGTTACTCACCAAGTTGTAAATGTGAGGACTAAAGGTTAGTACGTATCTTCAGTTTCCTGACGCGTAGGTTGAGGCATGCACTGAGAACTAAAGCATCTCTAGTGATCGATAAGGTGATGCGCACTGGGCCCGAATACGCTATCACGTTTTACTCCTAAGAGAGAAGCTCGATTGACATCCAAGTTTTTTTCTCCCAAAATGCACATTCATCATCAGATAACTTATGTGACGTGGCTTAACGATACGCAGGAAGTTCAGTGGCAAAAAAGTGACCCCGTATCTACAAGTTAATCAGCAAATGTCGTCGAAAGACGATAGTTTTGCGTGTGGAGACAGTGAACAAAACATTTATTTGATGTCCTGCGCAAGAAAATTGGTAAATGGTATACTCGACGCGCTGCGTTAGAGTGCCTCGAGCGTGCAGAGGAGGCGAACGAACGCATGAAGCCACGTCACACGTGAGACATGGGCGCCATCTGACAGTTTTCTTGGAAAACAAAGCGCGTGGCTTTCAGACGGGTGTGGGAGCACCCATCTCAGAGGTGATAAGGTGTAGAACGGGAGGCGACGGGTAGGTGCCACCACCATCTCATCTTATTAAAGCGTTGGAAACACTCGCCGTTTTGTGCAAGCGTTGCATGGTCTGCGCAGCGTTATAAGAACCACGGTCCTTAAAATTACTTATTTATGCCTTTTCTAGTAAAAGACGCACATGCAGAATATAAACGTGTTGTTGTGGTGCCCAGGCATGCACAATAACTGCTTTTTTATTGACAATTACACAAGCATGAACACAGAACCTTGAGCAACATTGGTGGGCGCTGCGGACGGGGTCCGCCGTTTCAAGTACCTGGTGCTGGTAAGAATAGACAAACAGACAAATGTACAGACAGACAGACAGACAGACAGACAGACAGACAGACAGACCAAAATTTATGCGTCAAAGGTCCCCAAGAAACACTATCGTCTTTAAAAAACGAGTGGACGACAGAATTAGCAGGGTAGGCCCGCGTCTATCTCTTCTCGCTGAGGGAGTCAGCCTCGTAGCAAGTGCGCCTTCTATTGCGTTCACAGTTGCTGATGATTAATATCAACACGCGATTAAATACTTGGGGGGGGAGATGAGCTTTTGTTAGTGCTTACCCTTTTGTTCATATTGTTACACGACATCGGCAACGAAAAAGCATCATAGACGACGAAGATGATGAAAGCGACCGTGCTCGTGTTGTTGTTGCTGCTGTTCTTCCATCTTGACTACAGGTGCCTCTTGACTCTCCCTGTATATTTTGTAAATATATTTATTTCATTCATTCTCTCTCCCCCGTAACATTTGGTGGAGGTGCGGGGTACAACACGATATAACGGAGCTCCTAAGTGGCCGACGCTAGGATTTTTCCACCATGGCAAACCAGGCACCGGCTCCCGCCGAGGCGACTACAACAACTGTTGTCCTTTCACAGCTAAAAGATGCTGGCACGTTCTGTGGCACGGATGATGTTGACATCGACGAATGGTTGCCGTTGTACGAACGTACAAGTAAGAATTGCCGCTGGGATGAAACTTTTATGTTAGCCAATATCCTGTTCTACTTGAAAGGAACAGCAAAAGTGTGGTTCGAGAACCACGAAGATGAAATTGGAAGCTGGGATGCGTGCAAAGTAAAGATGCGCACCCTTTTCGGTAAGTCTGTGGGTAGAAAGGCAGCGACCAAGAAGGAGTTGGCATCTCGTGCGCAAGCGCTACCAGAGTCCTACGTGACTTACATACAGGACGTGCTTGCCCTTTGCCGAAAAGCGGACAACGGTATGGAAGAAACCGAAAAAGTAGCTCACATATTGAAAGGCATTGCAGATGATGCATTCAATCTTCTCATATGCAAGGACTGCAACACGGTCCAGGCCATCATCAAGGAGTGCCAGCGTTTTGACGCCACAAAAAGTCGACGTATCACCCATAATTTCATTCGACTACCAAAAACAGCAGCCACCTGGTCGTGCGAAGACAGGCCTGCGCTACAGACGCCGTTAACTGCAGAGCACGTGACCAAGATCATCAGACGTGAACTTGAAGCTCTGTCTCCTGCGTCCACGTGCTCCCATGCCTGTGACTCTAGCCCTCAGATGGTGCCAGTGGTACATGCCATTGTGCGACAAGAGCTTTCTAATGCTGGACTGGCCTGCGAGTGCACTACAGCTCCCTCTTAGCCAATCAACCATCGTCGACCTCATGTTTCGTATGCCCAAAGCCAAAACCTTCCGGCGCGCCCTCGCAATCCAGCCGAGTAAAGGACTGCTGACGATCGCCCGATTTGTTTTAACTGCCACCGTATCGGACATGTGGCCCGCCATTGTAACACCCGGTGGTATTGGCATCAGGCATCCTCTGGGTACCCCCCTCGGCTAGAGAGGGATCATGGACGCTTTCAAACTTACCGGGAGTCAGCTCAGGCCACCAGTGAAGACGTTCCTTCTGTGCCGCCATATCGTCGTCGCTCTCCATCTCCGCATGCTCAACAGTCCCGTTCGCTGCTCTCCCGTCGCCCATCGTCTCGCTCGCCCCAATTTCGTCGACCAACGTCGCCGACTGACCACCTGCCACGGGAAAACTAGATTATGCAGCTCCCGGAGGTGAGGCTGCATCGACCACTTGCCCGCCAAATCCTCTGACCATGCTGCCGACTCGACAAAACCTTATTGACGTTGAAGTAGATGACACACCCGTTGTTGCACTGGTGGACACAGGGGCTCACATATCAGCGATGAATTCAGAACTTCGTTGCTGCCTTAGGAAAGCTTTAATGCCACCCACATTGCCACTCATCCAGGTCGCCGATGGTGGCACGTTTCCCGTGCTTGGAATGTGCTCTGCGCGCATAAGTGTGGCTGATTGCTCCACGACAGTGCTAGTTGCTGTGCCCGAGAAATGTTCCCATGAACTTATCCTCGGCATGGACTTTTTATCCGCCCACTCTACCCTTATTGATTGTGGAACCGG